AAAAAAAGAAAAAAAAAGGCAGATGGAAAATAATATGAAATCCATCTAGAGTCATGGATGATACTCCAACCTCACACCCCACTGCAGCCCGCCCCTTAAACGCTGTCTATCTATCTGTCTTATATAACCAACTGTCAACATTTCAATTTTATTCCGTTTCTGTGCATTTTTTTCCAATTGAAATGTTGCAAGCTCAATGCACACGCTGCATAGAAAAAATATAACAATGGAAAAGAAGAGATAAAGGCAGAGAAAGAGATCTTGGGCAAATTATAGAATGCTCTTTCTATTTTAATTTTAATATAATAAAGAAATAAATTTTTTACCACTAAAAAATCAATATATATGGGAGAAAATTTAAGGAATGGAAGGGAAAGAATATAGTAATGCCATAAAAATGTGTTTACTAAATTTCTTTCTACAAGTTTTCTTTTGTCAGACTTTAGTTATATCCTCAGTTATCAACATAGCATATTCTGTGTGCCCTAGGGTAACACTCATCTCATCTTCTAATATCTCTATGACGAAAACCATCCTCCAGTTTTGTAAGACGCAAACCTCAGGCTACGTACACTCTTCTTCAGTACGCAGAGATATACTATGAAAATTCTGTAGATTTTTGTGACGCTGATGCCTCAATTGGCATTCAGTTGTCGTCTTGATTTGAGTTCCCTGCTTCGCTGCTCAATGAATTTCCGTTTTCATTGTATTTATTCAAAAACCCCACCCCACCACCTCACTTCATCTTTTTTGTGCTGATTTCTCTATTCTCTTCAGTTATCTGTTTTCCATGCTTTTGTTCTTTCCGTTTTGGCTCTCGTTAATTGCCTCTCAATTAAGAGCATTTGAAAGTTTTGTAATTTAGAAACTTTTTCTTAACTACACATAAATTACATTTTCTTATGAATAATGTGTGCAAAGAGAAGCATGGCAAAAATTATGCAATACTCGTACTTCTTATGACGCTCTTGTTAATTGCAACGCTGAAAAAGTGTATGAGTTTTTCCAGTGCAACATTTTTAGCAGAAAGAGAAAATTGTTTAGTACGTTAAAATATTTAGCATGAGGTCTGGGCCAACTTTCGTGGGTGAGTGTGAAGTGTTTTGGTTTTGTTTTGAAGCCAAGATTGTTATATATTTAAGTAGATATTTAGATCATCTCAATTATGATCTTTTGTTGGACGAAATCAGATTGCATTTGCATCAGAAAATGTTTAAAATTTTCACCTTTAGAAAAAGCAGTAAAAAAGCAGCCAAAAATAAAAGAAAAACATTTTAAACCCGACCTTATAGAGTATCAAACACTTCACTCTTCGCATTTACATTCCCTGTTGTACTTTTTGTATATCTCTTTTGTTTTGTATATTTTTTCTAATCATTTTTCTCTCTCGCTGCCTTGGACTACTGCCCGCCTGCCTGCCAGCCAGGCCTTCTGCTGGTTGATGGGCAAATTGATGTCAATAATTGTATGCCAGATGTTTATAAATTTTATAAATTGTTGATCTATTAATTGCTTGTATGCCTTGGAGCTCCACAATTGAGAAATGTATGCCTGATGCCGAGATTTCAGTTCAAATTTGCCACAGATTTCCGATGCAGTGTTTCCTCCGTCTTTCAATGAACATATTGTAGAGCGCCAATTATTCACTTTAATGTCCCACTCATTATTCACCTTATTCATTCACTAATTATATGAATTAGTCATTGGGCGGGGATGAGCGAGTGACTTTCATAGAGGGGAACATAAATCTGTCTTGTGGGTCAAAAGCCATAAAATCCAGAGACAAGCTAAAGAAATCGGCAGTCAGAGAGGCAGCAAAAAAGTTTTCCAGGCACATATCTTCCAACTGCCAGGCAAACAAGTGGACAAAAATTATTAAAAAACTTATCGAATTTCCACTGCAAACAAAAACAGAAATAAGAGCTGAAGAAAAAAGCTGAGCTCAGAATTCTGGAGGGAAAATAGAGGAAAACACCAGGCTTGAAGGCAGCAGCTGGAGCTGTTAGAACTGTTGGTGAGGTGTGCGAAACTGCTTTTGCTGTAGGTCAACCCGGGGGCTCTGCTTACCCAACAACACGCATGGGAGAACATGGCTGTAGATGGCTGTAGATGGCTGTAGGGGCTTAAGCTTGAGAGGACATGGGTGTAGAAAGTAGTCTAGCGGGGACTGCAGTGGGTAGTTAGGGCGGGGTTTCTCTGGGGTGCACTTGCATTTGTTGACTTGTCCAAAGTGTTTAACCAAAGAAGCAGCACAACAGTTTGCCCCCTAAGTAGGTTACACACAAAGACAGCAGCAGCAGCAAGCAACGGCAAAGCCAGCGGCAGTTGCTTGCAACATGACACGCCCACCTATTTGTTGACATCCCCCACCCCCACCCCACAGGCAACACACCCCTCTGTAAAGCTAAGCTTTTTTGTATTTTCTGTGCAGTATATGGAATGAGGTTAGAATTGATTTTTTCGATAAAACAGGAGATCGCATGTCTGCCCTCTGCCAGTGACTCTACCTTTCGCTTGAATGGATTCTCCCCTTACCCACCCCTATTCGTCGAGTAAAAGGCTAAAAACTGGGTTATAGGCAATTGAGCATTCAGTTAACTCGTGGATATAGAGACAGATACAGGTAATACAATGTAGACACGTTCGCGCATAGAGCAGGCCAGTGATGTGAATGGTCTCGAGGAAAAAATGGAATATGGAATATAATAATAGTGGTAAAAGGAATAGCTCATAAAATATGTGGGGTTGATGGGCTCTTAAGTGTTTTTCGCTGAGTTAGCTAAGACTTCGGTAATTAATCGAGATGGTATTGGAAGAGTTTCTTGTGCTCTATCTAGTCTACTAATAAATACAAAATATATAAATGTTTATGTTTAAGAGAATGACAGTTTCTACTCACTGCTATTAATTTCATAATTGTTTTGATTCGAATATTTTATTTGTACATATTCGTATCTAAACTTCTTCCGAAGGTATCATATATCGCTATATCTTTTATTTCTCCGCCATCAACTATCAATTTTAAGTTCCTCCTATCGAACTACAAGACAAAAGCGTATACCTAAAGCTCTGAAAGTGACACTTTCAATCCCTAACGTCACTAACTTAATACCATGTTGATACCGATACACCACCCCACACTTCACACCTACCACACACAACGATCAATGGCACATTTTGCTGTCATACGATGCGACATTCGACTAAAATTCAATTTCATTAAAAATGTACCCAGAAAGTAAAGAAGAGTTTCTAAATATAAACCCATCAGGCGTGCACGTGCCAAAGACACAATTCGGAAAATGGGAAAAACGGGCGGGGCTAAGCAGAGTCTCTAGGGGAAGCAGAGCTCTGTGCGTGAGTAAGTGGTTATGGGGGCAAGGGGTAGCAGGTGTGGAGCCTGGAGAGTGACATTCTAAAAGACACTCTGTGCAGCTAAAAATGCAATATCCAATGGAGACTCAAATAACACACACAAAATAAATTGATGACAATCTTTTTTAAAGACTTTTATGGTGCCAGGCCCTAATACTGCTCTATCACATGCACCACAATTAAAACTCTCTTTGTAGCATTTAAAAACCAGTTTCCATCCATAACTGACCTAACAGCCCAGTTGCAATCTAAATAGATTGTAAAACGTCTGATGTATAGACCTTAAACATTATCTAATTCATTTATCAAATTACTCAACTTTCATGGCTGCCACACAGCGCTTTCGGGGGCAACGAAAAGACAATAAACAATATTATCTATTTCGATATCTAAACATCCAACAGAAAAAAAGGTTTTTGTTTTTGTTGTTAAGCTTCCGATTGCTGGGGCCATAAAAAATTTATGACAATTTTTTTAGAGGGGCCGTTGTCATGACGCTTACACACGATATCCAGCGATTAGTCATATTTATTTTTCGCTGTGAAATTATGCTTCCTTCCTTCCGCTTGGAAGTCACCCAAAATGGTTGCAAGGACTCACATTATGCAATCGTGGAAAGGACTAAATGATGGTTTAGCGAGCTTCAGTTCAGAGTGCGATTTTTGTGTTCTTCCATGAGGTGTGCACGCATTAGCGATGGCTGGGCCTGGGCAGGGCCTTACGTCCATTATTGATTTCTATATTTAGACTAACTACGTGACTTGCACACACGCGCTTCTTGCCCCATTCTACTGCGAGTAAGTGCTGGCTGCTTCTACTTTGATCGATATTTTGCCTGGGAGATACAAATAAGAGTTCGGATATGATTGCCCCTTTTGCGTCGGCGGATGGAAAAGGGCAAAGTAATGGTGGCAAATGAGTGGCATGTAATTACGGGTAGATTTTCTTATTGGAATGTATGAGAATATAAAAAACTAATCGATGAAATATCGTTAGAATATGGAGACTATACTTTCAATTCGTTTGTGTACCTGTCAACAGAAATTTACGTATGCAAATATCAAGCAAAATCGATTGAAAAAATCGTTAAAAAAATAGTTTTTAAGAAGTTTGTGTTGCTCGAACTAAAAAAAATTAGTTAACACAAAAAAACATACAGTTTATTAACATTAAATTCACCCATTAATACCCCAGATACATGAATTAAGAGCGTTTTCAAGTTGTTGCTTTCGTTCAAAATCCGATAGTCTGATATTTAGATGAGTTAAAATCCCATTCAAATATACGAACCGGATTCTTAAACTAGTCTTTCAAAATTTTTTATTTTTTAACTTTTTCTAAACATTATTATAGATATACATTTTGTAATTTTCCTATAAATTATTGGAAATGTTTAAACATTGAGAAATATTTGTATATGTATGGCTCTATAGCAAAAGTCTGAGAACATGCCTAAGGATAGACATTCCATAGAAGCTCAAATAATACTTTAATCTTCCTAGAAATCAATTCGGAATATCTATAGAACCTGCATCGAAGACCCTATTTGATGAATGTTTGATTTAATTGTACAATTAGTTATATCCCGATTAAGTTCATCATTTATGATCAGATGAAGTACTTACCCCAACTTGAACCGGTACGTCCAAGGCATTGGCTAGTTTCACTGTTCCATAGGAATTTTTTGAAACCCTCCCATTTTCCCATTTTTACCGGCGGCGAATAATATTCACCAATTTTCTTATCGGACATTTTTACTGCTTTTCTTTTTTAATCGGGTTTTAACTTGAGAATTAGGCTTTAATTGGTGTTTTGTCACTTTGGTTTTGTGTATTTGTTGGTTGGTTGTTGTTGTAGGAGGGTGTCCTGTCTATAAAGCTAGTTCTTTGTTTAAACTATTTTTTCTTGTGGGCTTAAGGTTGAACGCTTATCGATAACGAATATATTTTAATTATTTATATATATATTTATTTATTGGTGTTAATTTATGTTTTTGGTTTTATTTTTTGTTTTGTTTTTGGGTGAGTTTTTCTTAATCAACTGCGTTGGTACAACATTTTATCGGTTTTTTGTTGGTTGATTTTTATGTTTGGAATGTTCGTAGCAGTATGTTGGTTTAGATTTGCGCTAAATTTCGTTACTGAAAAAGAGAGAGTTAATCAGAAGATGGTTTCTTGTGCGATGATTAATGGGATGGCATTGTGGCCATAGATGGTGACACCTGTTAGTGGATGTGGCTAGAGGCTGAAGGATGGATAGTGAAACCATTGAGTCACATAATAGTTGAGGTTTTCTTTTGGTTTTTTTTTCGTTTGCATTGAATGTTCCTGGTGTCTTTTAGTAGTTTAATTCACTGTTTAGTTATTAGTCTGTTTTAATTGCTTATTTTTTGAATTTATTGTCTTTTTATTAGTTTTGGAAATAACCAAACTATTGCCCTACAAATCTCTACATTTATGTAAGAGTCTGACTTTTGTTGGTCACAGTTTTTCTGCATGAGCCATAATGTGCTTATATAAACTTTTTCTTTTCTTCAGTTGTGCTTCATTTTCATTTTTTTCTCTCCATATTTGCTCCTGTTAGCAAATGTTTTTTTGTTGTTCCTGTTGTGTGCCTCGATTCGGCGCAGCCACAAGGACACTTGAGGAAAATCTGTCGTTGCCCTAAGAGGCTTTTCTTTTGCTTTTGAGTTTTCTTTCTTCTGCGCTTTTTGTACTGCAAAAATGCTTCACTTGTATTTGTTTAATTTACTAATTTAATACTTCTGATTTTTGCATTAGTTAACAGTTTGAAAATGGCTATTTCCTGGTCTCTGGTTTACGTAAAATGTATATTCAGTAGTCACCTCTGCCGATTTTTGAGCCACACACAGACACTCTGCTGCCAACTGTTATGTAATCTCGAGCGTGGAGCATGGAAAAAGCCTTCGACCAGCAATCGTCCGACTAAAGCCGAGCGAGCGAGCCACCAAGCGACGAGTTGCGACGGACATGCGCGCGCCAGAGAGGGACAGCCAAAGAAAGAGAGGAGGTTGGCTGGAGGTGTGGAAAAGAGAGAAAAAGAGAGAGCTAGAGAACGCGTAGAACTGGAACTTTTGCCTTGGAAGGTTCTTTTTTTTCTCAGCTGGCTCTTCTTCTTCTTCTGCTTTGTAGTGCTGCAGCAGCAGCAGTGGCAGCAGCAGATTTTGGAATCGAAGGCAAAAATACTTGTACATGCCATGCCATGCCGTTGTCGTTGCCATGAAAGTTGACAGCTGGGCGCCAGCTTATTGACAGTTCTGAGAGCAGTGCTAGCATAACTAATAACCGCGCTAGCGGCATTGAAGTGTGGTGGAGTGGGGGAGTGCTATGGTGTGTCCAACCGCTGCTTTGCTGCACCTTACACCACAAAATCTGTTTCAGTTTTCAGTTCTTGCTGCAGATTTTCGTTATGCATTTTTCAGCTGACGCCCAAAAGCATGCAACAGAAAATGTGTTCACACTGCAAGGACATTCTCTTTGGATGTTTGTTGTTGATGCTGATGATGCGGATGCCTCTTCCCCTAGCGTCTTATCATCAATTATGTGTGTTTTCCTGAGATTTCTTTTTAAGGAAAATTCTTACACAAACACACTCAAACACGCTACAAACTCGGTGTACTCGTATACGACTATAGTCGTACTCGAACGAGCGCGTATGCCTTTGCTTGACTTACTTTTGTGTGTGTCCTGTGTGTGTGTGTGTGTGTGTGTGGCTGCTCTGTCGCCGTCGCTGTCGCTGTCGGTGTCTTTTCGCGGCGCACATTGCGCAACGCGTCCGACTCGACTCGGGCTCTGAATTCTGCGGCTTTGCCTTTGCTTTTGGTGCTTGTGCCTGTGGCTGGTTGGGGCAGAGTGGGGCGCTCGAGTGTGTGTGTGTGTGTGTGTGTGTGTGTGTGTATTTGTGTGGCATGGGGCGTGTATGCGGGTGACTGGTGTGTGGTTTGGACTTGGGGGCAAGCGAATGTCTAGTAAAGGGCATGGCGCACAAATGTAGGCAACGCCATGTTCTCCCCCTCCCGAACACACACTCACCACAGAGAAACATACACAGACACAAAGAGAGATAACTGTTTGGTGGGGGATACACATAAGTATTTCTCGGGGGTTTCCTTCTTTTTTTTCGGTTCGTTCCGCTTTTCCCTTTTGCATAAAGTGCATAAAGTTTACGTGGCAAAAGCAGAGGTGTGTTCTCTATAGGCAGGGGAATCCCTTAGTATTTGGGAAGAGCTATTACCATAATTTCATTAATATTCCAATCGATAAGTGAAAGATCTATGGAAAATATGCATAATTTAGTTTAGGGTTTATGCCCTTGTGACTACAATAACACTTTGAGTCACACTTTCTTTGGAAAGTGTGGAGTTTTCTTGGATACTTTAACTCTAACTTAGCTGCTTTGATGTAACCTATGATATTTCAGGTCAAAGTTCAGTAAAAGTAACCAAAACTAGAGCCTAAGCTTTATATAATATCAACTCTAACACCAGGCATGAAAATGTTTTATAAAAAATGTTTTTGCTGCTTTCTATAACATTTTTGTTGGCACATACACACACACACACACAAACACACACTTTAGGTATTGTCTTTGGGCTTTTCTTCTGCCATTAAGTTCTCAAGCAGCAGAGCAGGCAAAAAAATCGAATTTCAGTATGTACATAAGTTTTACAAGGATATCTTTGCTGCTGCTTCTGGCTGCTTGCTGCTGTCACAATGTTCTCGCTGTCGCCGTCGTCGGCGACGTAATCATAAACTGTTTTATTCTTTTCCATTTTATCTCTCTGTTTATTTATTTAAATTATTTTTTCAGGCACTGGAAATTATATTTTTATTTTGGATTTATGGGTATGTACACGTAGTTCGTACAACTTTTCTTTATGTAGAGTTTTCCTTTGATGGGGTTTTTGTGTGGATTTCTCTGTTTTTTTTTATGTAACCAGCGTTCGTTCGTTCTTTCAGAGATGTGAAAATTTTTTTGTGTTGTTGGTTTGGTTTGAATTTTTTTTGGTTAGCCGTGGCACACATACAGAATGGGTGTTTCTTTCTGTTGTTGTTGGTTGTTGGAACGCCTCTCCCTTCTCTCTACGCAGACTTGCACATAATAGCTTCAGATATATAGATATATATATGTAGCTGCATGTGTACATATAAGTATGTATATCTATGCCGTTAATCCGCCAGCGAGTGCGAGTAGCAACCGTCCACAGTTAAAACGCCAATGATAGTGCCAGGCATTCGACGATTGTGCCGCAGCTTGCAGCTGGCTATCCAGAGAGCTTCGGCAGAGCATTCGGCAAATCGCGCAATCGGGCAATCGGGCAATCGGGCCTTCGGGTACTCGGTTCCGGCGGACGGACCCAAAGCGTTAATGTATGGCCACGGGATGGGGGTGTGTGGTGTATGCTTGGAAGCTTCAGCTTTGCAAAAAAAAAACAACAAAAATGCCAGATATGGTTGGAGCTTTTTTTGCTCAGCTGGGTGTCGTCGCCGCACAGTGGAGTCTTGCTTGGGATTCTCTACAAAATTCATTTTATACAAAGCTTACATCAAATTATTCCATTTTTGCTGCCTATCTTGGACCGCTGCCCCACTTTGCTCCGCTACTCTTTGTTTTCCTGCTGCGAGAGGGCAGGGGGAATCGGTGCAGCGTTTGAGAGTGACAGAGAGAGAGAGCGAGAAAAAACGCTTTTGGTTTTGGTGAAGCTTTTAGCTACTTTTGCTGCTGTGATTTTGCAGTTTTATGAAATGGCTACAAAACTGAACAAGCGACATAGAACTTGTTTAGTGGCAGGCCAAGCAGTTTAGTGTGCATGTAAAACTTTGAATTAGTCGATACAATAATGATTGCAAATATTTTTGGATTTTAACACCATAAAAAATATGGAAACTTATATTGTTATATCCACTCGTCTCCCACAAATGATTGGCAAACATATGAAAAAATAGGAAAATAGATTAACAGAAATTATTATTTTCATTGAATTTTGTTCGTGAGCTTTCAGCTCTATGGAAGGGTAGAATTACAAATAAAATAGTCGTTCTATAAGCTGTTGCTGGCTAGCTATAGTCTGTGTCAAGTTAGCCTTAGGCTAACCCTCCAGTGTGCCCTAAACTGTAGTAATTTTTGCATGCATTTGACAGCTCTCGGATTACTCAGTCGTCCTCGACTGCCTGAATATATTGCAGGAGTTGTCTGCTTGCCCCCCGGATATGTCTCTGGCTGTTCGGCCAGTATGCCTCTCAGGCTCATGCGCTCTCTCCGGCCGTCGTTGTCTGATGGAATTCAATCAGCGCAGAAGCCCATCAATCGGTGGCCCCAGAGGCAACGTCCAACAGAAAGCCAAAGGCGGCAAAAGTTTACCAATTCCAGTGGCGACATTTTCCAACGATGCGGCGAATTCAGATATGCGGTCCTGCGCGTTGGAGACGGGAGAATAACTTAGGGAGGCACAAAGACTCTGTATCTCCGGCTCTGGTAATATAATATTTATTGATTATTAAGCTGGAGAGCAGAAAGAAAGAGATGGAGAAGGAGAGAGAAAAAGAGAGCGAGAGGGCAAGTGGCATGGAGTTTGAGATTGAAGTTGAAGCCGGGGCATTATATCCGTATTATATAAAAACTAAAGCAAAGCCAGAGACGGAGCAGTCCAAAGCCGGAATATGCCCGAAAAATGTGTCTTTTCCATCGCTAGATGGGCTTTTGCCTTGGATTTGTTTTTTTCTGTATTAAAGAGAGGGAAGGGAATGTGTTGTTGTATGATTTTTTGGCAGACCTTTCTCTTTTGGTTATTTCCCCTTCATTCAATTACGTCATTTCTCAGCTGATTTTGGAAAGTTTGCCATAAAAGTGTTATACAACCCAGGGCGGGATGGAGGAGGAGGATTCTTAGCCCAGAAAGAATAAAAATGGGATTTTCCTTGGCATAAAAATAGTCTTTTAATGGCTTTAATGTGAATTGAGTTGGCCAAAAACTTGGTGGTTTTTGCTATTTTTTGTATCATAGTTTTCCATTTGTTTGGCGGCTTTGTGGGTGTGGATGGAACTTTTCTGAAGGACGTTTTGTTGATTGTTTTGGACTTTTCTCCCCCACTGCCTCTTAATATTAGTAGGAGCTGCTTCATGCCACATAATTTGTCATTTCCTCACTTGTGCAGGACCTGGGTAGGAGACAGGTATCCTGCTCTAAGGGTTTGAGGTTTACTTAGGAGTGTTTTCAGATAGAGCTTTGGAGTTTGTTCTGCACTCGAGCTGGAGGAGTATGCGAGGGGAAATTAGTATTAATTCAAATTTGTAGCAGTATGTAACTACTCTTTGTAGATCCATTTAAAGTAAAGAATCGAATTTAGAGATTTAAAAATTTGGCATTATAGTTTGTTAAATATGTATCTTATGTTTTTCTCATATTTATCATATTTTTATCTAGTTTTTACGGTTCTTTATACCGCATGTCCTTGAAATTCTCTTTCACCCATACCGATTTCCATCCAGAAACGTTTCTGACAATCAGACATATCAGACCATTTTATATTGTTTAACAATTTTATATTTATAAAATATTATTCCCTGTATCCCATAACTCTAGCTTCTTTTCTTGCATCTATCATTCATTCCACTTTGCTCTTAACTTTATCAGTTTTTGCATCGTGTATCCTTCACATTTCACTCTTGTTTCAAGAAGCAACCCAATTATCATTACCACATCATGGACGCATAACCCACAGTTTTGCGTATCTTGGGGCTGCTGTCATTGTCACGCCCCAATCAACATAAATCAATCAAAATTAACACCAGAAACAAGTAGAAAATGTACACAGGATACAGAATACCCACACAGAGAGAGGGAGAGACTGAGAGAGAGGGGAGCATACAACAGGATGTGTACATATAGAGAAACAAAGCAAAGGATGCTGCATAAATTGATGGAAGCAGCAGCAACAGCAGCAACTGGGCGACACAGCAACAATAGAACAAGGAACGCACATGTCCTTACAGCTAATTCAATTACAGAGGAGTGTTGTAGAAAGCTTATGCTGCAGACAAGAGCAAGGGAGAGACAAACGAGATGCACAGATAGACAGCGAAGGAGAGAGAAAGGGAAACAGCATAGACAGTGAGAGGCGGACTGAAAGAGATATGCAGAGATAGACGGGAGGAAAGAGAGTGGCCTGCTTGGACTAAAACAAAAAGCCACACACACAGACACGCACCAGCCAAGCATCCATCCATTTTTCCACTATGCCTGCCACTAATCCATACAAACAGAGATTACGTTTACGCAACACAAAAAAATGTATGTCGCGTTAATGCGAAAAGCTTGCAAAACTTTTGAGGGATATAAATGCCATAGCCTTGCATCTCTCTCTCTCTCTCTCTGCCCACCAGTTGTCCGGCAATGAAAACAATTGAAATATGGCACATATTACACTTAAACCTTTAAATTATGGAGCCGCACACACACAGGCCGACGATCAGCCGCAGAAGAGCGGGAGAGCCAGAGCGAGAGAGCGTAGCGGAGGCAGAGGTTGACCCACTTTGCTTGCCAAAAACTTTTTGCACATCGAGGCTCGCCTCGCCTCTCATTCGTAGTGTCCTCCGCGGGGTACTGCCAGTGGGCGCTATAATTTTCCAGGGGGGATTTTTTGGGGGTGGCTGCAATTCGTTTGGGGGCGCATTAAGTCGTTGTTGCTGCCTGCCTGCCAGCCTGCCAGCCTGCTGCTCTTTTGCCTGCCTGCCTGCTGCCGACTGTTTGCGAATTTTCGCACAAATGGCAAAGTTTAAGTGCTCGACAAGTATAAGTTTAGTATGGTTTTAGAAATGGTCAGGTTAGCGGGATTCTGCTGAAGCCCTACAACAAAACGGAGGTTAACTATTTATATAACCATAAAGTCAACCATTACCTTGGTCGTTGGTACTTGCTACGTACAATGGTTGCGTAGGAGATTATGCTGCAGGAAGGATATATATATATGAGAATTCGCGAGCCTATTTAGAAGTTCTTTAATTTTTTTACCCAAAAAATTTAATGGATCTGATCTATGTTCTTGTTGTTCCATGGTACCCACATATGAATTCAGTAAACTTTAATCTGGCAAATAAAATATAAATCAGATATTGGAAATTAAACTTTAAACTTCACTGTCAATAAGTAGCTTAATTTTTGGTAAACTGCTTTTCGGCCTGAAAAACAAAACTCTCAGCAAATATTCTCCATGAGTGCTCGTGTAGGGTGCATGGGTTTTCGTGCATTTGCCAAGTCACAAGTCAAGATATCCCTCCAATCGGCGTCGTCGTCGTCGTTGTTGGGTTCAAGCAGCTGAATGCCAGTGAGAATATCGATTGCAATGGGGCAATAATAAGGATGCCTGGCTGCAGAGACCACTTCAAGCCGGGTGCTTGACGCTGGCTTAAGGTTGATTTTTCAAGTATATTTATTAGATAGATAAGAGTACAAATGGGTAAATGCCTATAACTAGGATGGACCACTATGATAACTATGAGCTATGCAAAACGGCAAGTCTTTTCTTTACTTTTCTTTTCTGTCTACAATCCACTATTGAATGGGGGACTCTTATGGGTTTGGGTTTGGGCTTGGCCCAGGAGAACACTTCCCCATCTCCCTCTTCTCTTACTCAGTATTCAATTGTCACACACTTGGTCTTCAGATACTCGTTGAGTGCCTCTTGACCCAAGTCCTTGCCATAGCCGCTCTGCTTGAAGCCGCCGAATGGCGCTGCCACGTCCGTCTTGTTGTAGACATTCACAAAGACAGTGCCGGCCTCGATGCGGTCCGCGAAGCTGAGAGCCTTACTAATGTCCTTGGTGAAGACACCGCTGGCCAGGCCGTACTCGGTGTTGTTTGCCCGCTGCATCACCGAATCGATGTCGCTGCCATTGAACTTGGAGATGATCATGATGGGCCCAAAGGACTCTTCCTGCGCTATGTACATGTCATCCTCGACATTCGTGAATACCGTCGGGGTAAAGAAGTAGCCCTTGAGATTCGCCACACGACAGCCGCCGTACACCAGTGTGGCACCATCCTGCACACCGCGCTCACAGAACTCCAGCAGCTTCTCAAAGTGTGCCTTGTGGTTCTGTGGGCCATGGGCCGTGGAACGATTCAGTGGATCCCCAATGGTCATGGTACGCAAATCCTTGAGCACACGGCGCACAAATTCATCATGAATGCGATCCTCCACAAAGAGTCGGCCAGCGGCAATGCAATTTTCGCCCTTGTTGAAGAAAACCGAAGACATGCCCTGGAAAAACAGAAGAAATAAAGCTTAAGTGGGAGGTTCTATGGTGCTTTTCTTTTGCTGTTTTCTTACATGCTTCACCGCTTTATCCAGATCACAGTCCGCAAAGATAATCAGAGGACTCTTGCCGCCCAGCTCTAGTGAGCATTTCTTGAGATTGGAATCCGCACAGGACTTCATAATATGCTTGCCAATGGGAGTGGATCCTGTAAAGCCCAATTTGCGCACCAACTGATGATCGGCCACTGCCTGCCCCGCATCGGAACCCTTCCCGGGCAGCACATTAATCACACCTGGCGGGAAACCCGCCTTGACCGTCAGCTCGGCAAACTTCAAGGCCGTCAGCGGACACGTTTGGGCGGGCTTGATCAGACAGGTGTTGCCAGCGGCAATGCAGGCGGCCATCTTCCAGGAGAGCATCATTAGGGGATAGTTCCACGGCGTGACCAGGCCACACACACCAATGGGCTCCTTACGCGTGAAGGTGAGAACATTGTTGGGTCGCGCGGGGTTCACTGGGATTGTATTTCCCTGTATTTTATCGCACCAGCCGGCGAAATACCTCCATGCATCGATGGACATGCCCACGTGGGTCTTCAGGGCCAGCGTGTAGACTGCGCCCGAATCCACCGACTCAATGGTGGCCAGCTCCTCCTTGTGCTGCTCCATGAGATCTGCCAGTTTGAGCATCAATTGTCCACGCTGCCGCGCGGAGACCTGCTTCCACGAGCCATAGAAAGCCGTGTGGGCAGCCTGCACCGCCTTGTCCACATCCTGTGGCGAAGCGCAGGCCACTTTGCAGAGAACCTTCTCATCAGTAGGATTGACAATCTCCAGAGTTCGCTTGCCCTCGGCATCCACAAACTCCCCGTTGATGAAGAGCTGCGTGGGCACCTGAATCTCTCGTTTGTTTGCCTTCAAGGTGAAGCCATCGTAGATGAGCTTCTGGCCACCAGAGCCGCCACTGCCTTGACGCAGGATTTTAACCAGCTGCCCAAAGAACTCCTCAAACACGGGCGCCATAAAGACATTATCATTCTCCAAGGGCACATCGAAGGCTTCCTTCACTTCCTCCACCAGACGCACCACGTCCATGGAGCCAGCGCCAGCGGCAAAGAAGTCTGTAGAGTCCTCAATGGGTTCCTTTAGGATGGCCTGCCAAATGCCAGAGAGCAGAGTCTTCTTGGATAGCTCATCCTCGCTGAAGTCGGTGATGGGCTGCTGTTCGGCCTGCTTGAACCATTCACTGGCATTGATCACCTTTGACCCGCGCTTGATGCGACGCACATTCACAAATGCCCCATCGGTGCCTTCAATGAGGAGTCCCGCGGAATGAACCCAGGCGGGCTTCGTCAGACCCTTCAGACGCAATGCCTGGCCGTGGGACACGGGACCGGCGGAGTAGAGGTGAGCACCAAAGAGACGTATCTGCTCCTCAATGCCATCCTGCAGAATTACTGTGGCTATGGCGCCCGGCACCGAGTCCAAGCCACGCACAAAGTTCCAGATACGCTCCGCCGATTGCTGCAGATTGATAAGCTGATTCTCCGCCTTGAACATGGCCGGATCGTAGGTGGCACCGATCTCCGTTTGGACTATTTTTGGGGCTGTGCCATTGGCAACCATATCGACGGCCACACCCATGGCCTTGACGCCCTCGGGGTACAGGAATCGCTTGTATATGCTGTCGAGTGTGTCAGTGGGCTCGAGATTTGTTTGACGCGTCAGAAGCAGTGGTCCGGTGTCCAGGCCATCATCCGCCCAAAAGATGCTAAAGCCAGCCACCTCATCGCCCTCAATTAGAGTCCAGGATATGGCACTGGCACCGCGATGGCGAGGCAGGATCGATGGATGGTAGCAAATGCTGCCCAATGGGGCACCATCAATCACCTCCATCGGAATAAACTGCGAGCAGTAAGGCAGCACATTCAATGTGGCGCCCACCGATTTGTATTGTGCCAAAACCTCTGGCAGGACCACGCCCTTCCGCCGCCAGCTGCTAAATTTAAAGACGGGTATCTTGTGAGCTGTGGCAGTGGTCGCCAGCACATCCTCACGACTCCCTTTGTCCGGTATGGTGAAGACACCCACAATTTGTATGCTGGAACGCTCCAGCAGCAGCTCCAGAACATCAGCAGCAAAGTTACTCTGGCCAATGATGGCAATGCGAAGTTTTGACTGAAATAATGATAAGTGTAAGAAGAAGGGAAGGCGTTAGTTCGGCTTGCTGTCTAGAAGGTGGCAGGGAGAAACACTGTAAGGGGCGCCGCGTAGGTCAAAATGGTGAATTTTCATGCAGCTTATGTTTATCCCGAAGTTCTATTACTTAAATCGTGTAAAAATGCAGGAGCAAACCTAACATTCGAGTGGAACTTTCATTAATCTTTTGAAACTATTTAAAGAACTCAAAAGAGCTGTTGGAATCTCTATAGGTGGCTCCGCGTAGATCAATTGTGTGGCATATAATACTATTTGCAGTTTGTTTGCAGTTTGCACTGAACTAAAATGAAGCTTTGCGCTGATGTGATAATTTGTTAAAATAGGGCAGCTATCTCTATTAAAATCCACTATTCCTTAAAAATATCGCACAAAAATCATATATTTTGCATTTGAAATCATTGTATTTCCCTGACGGTCAACTTAAACAATTAATTGTTTGGATCCAATTTTTAGCTGCACAATAGCTTTTCTATGGGGGCAACGTTTTTCACACCCAGATCTAAGATTCTTAAGTTATGTACAAAATCGTACCGCTACTAAAAAAAAAAACTTTAACAACAAATACCAGTCTTTAGAAGTAATAAAAGTTCTTCCAAAGAAAAAAAATATCGTTCATTAAAAAATTAAAATGCCCAAAATCTATCAGAAAAAGTAAGTTTGGTTCCTTGTATAATTTATATTAGGCTGCACTTTTTATAGAAATTAATTTACTAAGTCTCCAGACAAGCATTAAAAGAGGCATTAAAATTGCAAAATGTTTCCATTTTCTTTCCAGCAAAAATATAAATTCCTCTTGCTTAGCTCGATTAGCTTTCATTTGAGTTTCGCTTCTGATCCGCGGCCAAAATCCGCTTGCACGAATTTAACTCAAATTGCAAACTCAAATAAGAATCAAATTTCATTAGAATATGAATATGAATTCGATTATGAATGAATACTAACAGCCATTTCTTGGGTATTATTTACACAGCAAAATCAAAATATATTTTCGCTTTTCACTTCAATTAAAGTTTAATTAGTTTTCACTTTTTAGTTTTCACTTTTCACTCTTTGTTTTCACTATTTTCATTCATGCCTCAACCGCTTGGAAGGCCGGCAAACTATCAACTGAATTACAGTATTAAAGCCGGGTTGTATTTATACCTTGGTGCCACACGAGCGGCTCATTATCGTTATCAACTTGATTTGATTATAAATAAAAGCTCAAAAAAACTACAAATCAGCACAGACATGCGCTTTTGGGTCGTCCAGTGGCTCTTTGTTTGGGGCTCACTTCACATACATTTCATAATTAAATCAGCGACAAGCGAAATGCTTATCAATCTCCCAGCCAAAGAAGAGACCTGCAGCAGCAGCACGAGCACCGAGGTGTGTGCATGTTGATTTGGCATGATCAGAGGGCCGGACTTTTTTAAATTCCAGGGAAAGTCGCCCGACAAGTGTCTGAATAATTTTCATATGAAAAGATGTCCCATTTAATGGATTTTTGTGCTGCAAGGGCATTTAATTTGAGGTGCCAGGTGACTGCAGCTGCCGTTATTCCCCTGTTATTCCCCGTTATTCCCCCGCTATTCCCGTTGGCTTGAACAGAGTTTTTCTTGGGAGCTTTTAGTTGGGATTATATGGAATAATATTCTAAAATGTGCTGCAGAAGCTGTAGACTGTGGCAATAATTAATAAAATAAATAAATACAACGAGAAGGGACGTGTGAGACGCTTCTTACGCGTCACAACTTTTATACCCGGTACTCAGTACAGCATCTGTACCTTAGCGGTTTTTTGTCGAATTTTTAATTTTTTCTTCATCTGTCATCTACATCTACAACACCTTTACAGCACACTGCAGAAGCAGAGTGTGAATGAGAAAATCTGAAAAAAAAATATAAGCTGCGGGATGGGGTGGGTTTAGCCACTGCAAATTAATTTCCTCATTGTGGCTATAATAATGATCCAATCGGATCCCAATTTGGTGATCTGATAGATAGGGTCCTTCCCTACGGAATGGAGTTTTTTTTAGTTTTCTTGTATCTCCAAAATTGTAGGTTTGGGAGGTTTTCGCCCTTTTGCGGGGGTGGAAGGAAGGGGGCGTGGTTTATTTTTAAAATACACTTGTAACTGTGTAAGCATACAGAAGTATGGATGCAACATTTGGTGGCTCTAGTTTTTATAGTCTCTGAGATCCAGGCGCTCAACAAGACGGACGGACGGACAGACATAGACTCGGCTATTGATGCTGATCAAGAATATATATACTTTATGGGGTCGGAAACGTTTCCTTTTGTGCGTTACATACAACCGTTATTCGCACAAATACCGGGTATAAAAATTATAAGTTATGATGACTTGTGCTAATATTAGACAGGTTTTTCTTCACTTACTAACGAGAGTTGCATTTTTAGACACAAAAACACTCACTATAAAACAACATTTTGTTCCAATTTAGTTAATACATTTATCTACATGGAATGGGGTTTTATAGATCATCAAAACTAGCCAGTAAACCCAGCAACCATTTGGCTAATTAAAAGCAATTAGCTTTTACTTTCAACACTATCAAAACTTAAAGATCTTTCAAAGCATGCATCACAAGTACTCGGTTTGAAACTCCAAACGTCTGTCTACGCGTTAAAGTTAGTTCTGTGCCAACCACACCTAGACTCGGATCATTATGCTGTACCGCCTGCAGTCCTGCCTCAAGTATTTTGCCTTTCTGGGTCTTGTACCCTGGACGAACAACTGCCGACCATGTCAGTGTTTTCAACAGATTTATTCGCTATTTTTGATCATCATAAATCTAATGATATTCTTTGTGGAAATTGAAATACCACTAAAAGATTCGCTGCTGCTGTCGCTGCTGGTCAGCACGATTGTGTTTGTTGCTAAGATTGTGTGCATGACGGTGATAATGCTGCAGATGATGTGCCGGTACAAAGGATATTACATCCTGTGCAAAGAATTTAAGCGTCTCAGGGAGCGATTTGAAGTGCAGCTAAAAATGGGAGCGTTGGCATATCCCCGCGTGCGTTACATTAAAATTGTAATGCTGGGCATGGCCAGCCTGGGGACACTCGGTTGCCTGATTTATACATCGTTTATCGCAAGTTTGATCTACTTTTGGTCCTCGTTTGTGGCCCTCATCATCATTCGACTGCAGTGTGTACTCCTCCTGCTCTATGTCGACTTAATGGGTTTCCATGTGCAACTGCTGGGCAAACGCATTCAGGATGTGCTCCACTGTCATTCGATGGGTGGTGGAAACTGCATTCCGGATGGCAATTGCAAGCAGCTGTGCTCCCTGGAATTCCTTCTCGAACTCAAGCAAAGTCATATGCAACTCTTTGAGCTTTTTAGTCATTTTAATGACTTGTTTGGCTGGTCAATTTTGAGCATATTTGTTGTAATGTTCATGGATGGCACAGTGAATGTTTACTGGACCCAACAGGTCCTAGCAGGGGTCTATGGACTTGTGTATCTTAATGCTGCATTCTCATTTTCTGTGCCCTCACTGGCTCTAATCTTGGCATTCTGTAGATCTGGGGAGTACTGCAAATGGCAGGTGAGTGAAGGAAAGCTAATGCTTTATGCACTTTTTTAAACACTTTCTTCTCCATAGAACATGCTCATTGGCAGCTATGTTCGTGCCTTGGCCTACAATCCTTCGCCCCAGCAAGCGAAGGAACCCGCGTACACTGAACTGCTCACAGAATTTACCATGCAAGTGGAACACAATGTATTGGCCATTAATGCCGAGGGTTTTATGCTCATTGATAACTCACTGCTCATGTCGGTGTGTACCTAGACTTTTTTTATTGATGGGAAAAAGTCTTCAAGTGCTTTACAATTTTTTGTTGCTAATCTTTCAGATGTTCGCTGCAATGGTTACATATTTAATTATTTTAATGCAATTCAGTGCAGCGTAGAAAGAGATGAATAATGAATAATGAGAGACAAAAACTTCTTTGGAGTTATTTCGAATCTGCAACTCATTTAAAACTAGAATAAATTGTTTATTTAAATACTTGAAATCGCTTTCGGGGGATTATTTTGATGCATTTTAGTGTATCGTGTCAACATTTTGGAAAAAATTCAGACTTAACCCCGAAATAAATTATTTAAATTAAATAAATAATAAAGTATCCAATTAAGTCATTATTCACATGCCTTGTAGTACTCTCTGGAAACCATTATAAATTATATTTCATATTAAAATACATTTTTAAGTAAACTCTTAAAACATTTATAGACCAAGTAGGTTTAAATCAAATAAAATAATATTTAAAACCCAATTCAATCAATTTTTTAATATCATTATTCATTATGATCACAAATGATCATGAAAAATAAATTTCAGGGTAATATTAATTATTACTTACTTAAACCCCTGCAAGCTCAAGAACTACCAAACATTGACCCATTTGTACTTTTACTTTTATTTTGATTGCTGCAAGAGCTAAAAACTCTTTAGATAAGATTATGGAAAACAAAGCGTACAAAAACTCATCTTTATCACACCTACCAAAAAGCGAAACGAAAAAGCAGTTCAAACCGGCTAAAGAAGTCAACCAAAATAGTAATTATCTTATCGTTGCTTTTGTGATTAGTTCAAAGTGACATATACGCGTATATTCGCATGATTTCTAGCAGTGCAACGGAAATATTATACATGGGTATAATGGTATTATGATTGGGGGCCACAGAGAATACGAGGAACCTGCCTCCAAAAGAATAAAGTAACATCTGATCGTATGACACCACAGAATTGCTAAATCATCAGTTGTCAGGGGCACACCACAGGGGTTCTCATACTCGTACTCTGTTTTCAATTATGCAATTTAATATTTGAGAAAATGTACATACATATATTATATTTATTTTTTCGTGTACTTATAAATAACATTTCTATCACGCACTCAGCGACTGTCTGAAATTGTGAAATTTCGGGGCCTGTGCGTCCTCAGCTGTGCTCACACTGGAAATATACACCGGGGCATATTCCGGCGGTAATCGGTGGATTGGATTGGTAGCTTAGTGATAACCCAACCGATTGGCCTCTGGTTTAGACGACTGGGTGGACTGTCGCAAACAAACAACGGAAAACCGGTTTGCTGGATGCACCACAAAGGCCCTCGAACCGGTTTCAAGTGGTTCAAGATGTGCCAATTTTGATAGGCACTATCAATACCTCTAGCCCGGGGCAAGTGTTCCATCAAAGTCTAATCTCTGGGGGGAAACTCTCAAGTGTTTTTCATCGATTAAACGAACGTTTAAAGCGGTTTCAACTGGTTTTACCGTCTGAACTTTTCAGCCACCCTCTCGATTAACACTCGGAGCCATACCAATAAATGTACATTTTTGGAATGGTCATTTATTTACAGGAAGTGCAACAATTTAATATATACTTTACGAATAACTAAAATAATTAAAAACTAGGAAAAAAGAACGAGCGAAGGCTGCTACTGGTAAGTCACTTGTGCCTCCACGGTGACTTCTTTGACTACATCGCCATCATCGCTTACAACATCCACTTGAAATTCTATTTGTTCGGTTTTGAGCGTGGCTTGGGTTGAGTGTTCTGTGGCTTCAGTAGTTGTGGTGTCCACTAGTGACTCAGAAGGTTCAGTGTCCGAAAAGTAGTCTAGGTTTACAAATTTTGTGGATGTCTTTTTGTCGGTTAAATTAGTTGTGCTCTCTGCAGTTTCTGCTGTGTTTTCCTGTACCTTTTCCTGTGTTCCACTGGCTTTTATATTATTTTCATTATCGCTTTCCTTTAGCAGCTTCTCTGTGGGGGCATCACCTATATTAGCATCATCTGTGATTATTATTTCATATTCAGTAACTGGTTTTGTCTTCTCTGAATCCACAAGGCCAGAGGTTTCTTCGGGAGCTATTTTCAATCTACTCATTTGCTCAAAAAATTCTGAAACTAAGAGTTTATCTTTAACAAAATTCAAAGTTTGTTGTGACTTTCAGTACTTACCGTCGGAGTTATCTTTGGGAGAGGTTTCCAGCTCAATCTTTGGCTCAGTGATTGCAGCTTTTTCTTCTTCTGAAGTTCCTGCCACAGCACCGTCTAAGTGTGTCTCTGAATCGTCATCAAAGTTTTCCAAGCCCGCAACATCTTCCATAATATCCTCATCATCTTCCTCGCCATCACTTTCGCCGTATTCGTGACTTTGCAGCTGCGCCAAGGCCTCAGGGTCGAGAAATTCATTCAATCTGGAGGCTATTTTGGCCCACTTATCCTTGGCCGTTTCCACCAACGGCTTGTCCTGCTTTTCTGTCTCAGACTTTACTTGTGGAAGCTTTTCTTGATGCGCTTCCATTTCTAGTTCATTATCCTGCAACATTTGCTTTTTCTCTTGAATTATTTTGAGCAGTCCGCGACGTGCTCTGACCTCATTCTCGCGCACCATACGCATGTCCTCTTCGAAGCCCTCGTAGTAGTAGGCTTTAAGCATTTCGGTTGAGATTTTTGGTGGCTCAACAACGGCCAACTCCTCGTCGGATGAATAATCTGTTGTGACATCGGATGGAGCCCCATCGTCATCAATATCCTCGAAACCAATGACTGGGGGCATTGACACTCGCTGTGGATATCTTTCTGTGGCTTGGGGAACTCTTTGTGCTCCTTCTGGAATTTGTCCATCAGCTGGAGGAACTTCTTCTACTTGGGGAACTGTTTCTGCTGCCTGTGGAGCTACTTCTTTTGCTTTTAGAATTCCGTCTCCCTTTGCACCATCATCTTGCTCAATAGACATAGGATTCCAACGCTGATACAGCGTGGATCCCGCACTCAATGAAAGTTGTATGGGCTTTGAGTCCTCCTCCTGCTGCCGCTGCAGCAGTGCTGCCTTCTCTTGTTTCTGCAACTCACGTGCCTGCTCCTCGTCCTCTTTCATGCGTTGCATCATTTTGTTCAACAATTCGTTTTCCCGCTCCAACTCCGGATCGCTGGACTTGGCCCTGGCCTCTAGATCTTCATGGGTGGACAGCATCTCCTCCAGCATTTCGTTCTCCTCGCTGGTCAACTGCAGCTCCGTGGCGCCCGACTTCATGCAAGCCTTCAGTTCATTGTAGCTGAGCATGCATTTGGTGGCAGCCTCCGCATTGTTCGCCGTCGTTACCTTATCGAGATCCAATTTTTCAAAGAACTCTAAATCGAGATTGCCAAATGTTTGCTTGGCCTGCTGCGAAAAGAATTCCTCCTCCAGCGAATCATTTTCCTTTGTGTCATCCGGAAATTCCTGGAGTTGTTTAGCCAGACAGCGTTTCATGGCTTCGTCGACCAAATGCTCGGCAGATTTGCGTGGCTTTGGCTCGTACGGTGTGTTCCAGGGTGTGCGTGGAATACTTTGGTGCGTCTCATCGTCTGCAGTGTCGTAGGCATCGTCGTCATCCTCCTCCTCCGAGTCACTGACCAGTTCTGGTGGCGGTGGCAGCTCCTCCAGCTCACCAGTGTCCTTCTTGACGACCATCAGACGATTGTCGACGACCTCCAAAGTGTCATCGTACTTCTCCCGCTTGGCATAGCAGCGTCCCGCCGAGGCAGCCGCATGTCGCTTGCGATTTTCCTCATCCTTGGCCAATTGAGCGTCCAAACTTTCGGGCGTGTCCTTGCTGAAATCCCCCAGGCTCTTGGACAGCAGCAACGCCTTGGCTGCACGTATTTTCTCCAAGCGTGTGGAGGATACAGGTCGGGCCTTATCGTTCGATTTGTTCGCAAGGAACTCCTTGAACGTGTCCATACATTCGCGCAGACTCTTGCCCCCCGCTGGATTCTCCAGATGTGGCGGCACCAGCTTCTCCACCTTTGGCTCCTCCGAGTAGGTGTTCTCGTCGTCGGACTCAAACGGTCCCAGGGGATAGCTGTCGGGACCCATTTCCGTGATGTCTTTGTAGATGACATCACTGATCAGATCATTGAGCAGCGAGGCACAATCCATCTCCAATTGCGTGTCCTCCGAGCTTAAGGACCGTTCGTAATTGATTTCAGTATCAAAGCTGTAAAAAGTCTCATTTTCATTTTCCAGCTCAGCGAGCAGCTGACGCAGTGTTGCCTCCTCGCCAGCCAGTTTTCGATTCAACCTGTCGCAAATCTCCTCAGCGGCCTCAGCGCTGGTTTGCTGCGTCACGGGTCGTGTCAGTATATCGTCATCATCATCCTCAGCATTGGCAGATGGTTTGCGTTGCTCTTTGATGTCGTCCTCCATGCTGGTGAGTGGCAACTGCCGCATGCACTCTTCCTTATCCCAATCCTGGCTAGGTGTATCGGAGCCAGCGCCAAACACACGCTTCGGCACATTATCCGTGGCATCGTCCATGACCTTGGCAAATAGACTGTAGCGCTGGGTCAGACTGGCCAGTTCTGCCTTGGCGGCATCTTGTTTGTCCTGCAGTTCCTTGCGCTCTTCCATCGCCTCCTTGAGTCGCTGTCTGCGCTCCTGGAACTGTGCCCTTAGCAATGCCGACTTGGCCTCCAGCGCGGCCTCGTTTAACTCCTCATCCGACTCGTCTGAAGACTCTGTTTTCTCGGGGACGTTGTCACACATGTTCTCTGCTTGATCGCGCAACTCTTGCAGATCCTCCTCCAAGTGGCTGCCCATTTCGGCCAAATCGTGCGCACATTTCTCACTGGCATCGGCGCACTCCTGTTCCCATTCCAACTGTTCTTTGCTTTTCGGCGGCAGCGAGAACTCGTCCACAAATTCCTTATAGAGATCCCTGGCTGTGGTGGGTGTCTCCTCCTCGCAACACACTTTGGCCGACAGCTCGTATTGTGTGTTGCTTTCGTTCAGCAACTGATCGAGGGGCAGCGAAAGCTGATCAATTATTTCCGAGCCAAAACTGGAGTACATTTCATCGATGAGCTTGGATTTTACTTCCTTGGGTGTGGGTTCCTCGCCATCGTTGTTGCCCTCGGCCACGTGCAGCAGTGTTTGACATGTCTGCTCAAGATCTGCGCTGTTATCCAGCTCTGAATCGCTGTCGGATTGAAGTAGTGGCGGCTTCGAGGTGGCGTCTGAATGAGGTAGCGCTGGCTTCGAGACGCTGTCTGATTGAAGAAGAGACGGTTCCACGGCGCTGTTTGTTTCGCAATGTGCCACTGATTCATATGATTCCATTATTGCCTCAGACCTTTCATTGCTTGGCACTGGCTTTTCCTAAAAGTTTAATTCATTAATCGTTGCATAAACTAATTTATTATCAGCTCTTACCTTTAACCCAGTTGCTATCATTTCTTCCTTACTGACGTCATGTTCCTTTCCCCCAACAGGCTGGAGCTTAAGTTCTTCTTTTATGGAATACATGTTATCTATTTCTTCTATTAGAACTCGCTTGCCTTTGGATTCCTGAACGTTTGGTTCCTTTAGAGCTTCGTTGAAAGGATTGTCTATGCTTTCAGGCTCCACAGATTCAGCTTTCTGATTATCCAAAGTAGCATTTGTATTTCCATCCATTTCTTCAATGAGAATTCTCTTGCCCTCGGTTTGCTGCTCCAACTCTGAGATATCAAAATTATTCTGTTCCTTTTCTTCAGTATTTTTGACTAGTTTCTCAATGCTTTCAAAATCGCCCGTTACTGCCTCATCGTACAGCACTTTGGGCCTGCCCTCCAGCGACTTTACACGACGATTGCTGATGCGCTCGGCAATGTAATCCTCCTGCGAGCCAACACTTTCATTATCCTCAGCCGATGCGGAGCTTGTGGTGCTGTGGTCCGAGGCCTGACTTTCACCAGAAACCTCATCCCACATGGCATCCACTGAACCATATTCCATTTCGGCTCGCTTGCGTGTCTTTTCTGCATCCGCAATGCCCTTTTGATCCTCCTCGGAATCACTGGAATGCAGTAGGGCCACCTGGTCTTCGGGTTTCAAATGTCTATTGCGCATGCGTATGGTACCTAAGTGGAGGAGTGAACAGTATCGATTAGATATAGGGTTTGCTTTTGGGATTGCCGATGGGTTTGCACTTACAGTTGACGCTTTCACGTGTCTTGCGACGCTCGACACGAATCCAGCGTTGATTTTCCTTGCGTTCGCCTTCGTAGCCATCGCGTTTCCAGGCCTCGGCACAGGCGCGATCACGTGGAAACACAGGACGACTATCCAGGTACGTAAGCTCTTTCTGAAACACACAAAGTAAAACCATTATCAGACGGCACACATAAGATATAAAGACCTTGAACTTACACACGCCAATATCAAAGTTTTGCGATACTGCGGCAGTCGGGAGACCACGGGATTACCCTGCAGCACTAGCACCTTTAGGTTGGGCATTTGTTCGAATATTTTCACAATCAAAATGTCATCAATGCGATTGTTGGCCAAATCCAGCACCGACAATGTCTTGCACTCGACCAAATAGGCCAAACTGGCACTGTCCGTCAGATAATTCGAGGTAATGTTGAGGGTATTTAGCACAGGCAGAATTTCCGTGCCAATATTCTCAATTTTACGTATGTGATTCTGGCTAACATTCAGGGTATCCAAATCGCGATTGTATTCCAGATTCTCGATTTTGGTTATCAAATTATTCTGCAGATACAAGCACTTGAGTTTTGTGAGCTTCGTGAGATTTTGTATTTCCGAAATGGCGTTGCTCTCAAGCCAAAGGGTCTTCAGTTCTGTGTATTCATCCAGGTTTTCTATACACTGATAGCCTACAAGGAAAAGTTTATTAGTTTGGCTATAAAGTTTACGTGTATTTACTCACCCTGAAAGTGCAAGTAGAGCACATCGTTGAGGCGTGGCGTTTGATATAATTTATCCCGCTTGCATATTTCCTTGAGGCCCGCTTCGGTAATGCGATGTAGGCCGGTTACCTCCTCGTAGCGGCGGCCACGGCCCGCTTCGCACATGGTAGCTCAGTATTTTTTCCTCTTAAAATTTATTTTATATTTGAAGAGAAGTTTTTAAAATATTTCATATGCTTTGAATTTGATTAGTACTTTGAGAATGATTTGTTACAAAAAAAGCACCGAACCGTCTTGCGACTATTTTGATTGAATAAACATGGCCGTTGTCGATAGCAACGCTTAAAATACAATTGCAGCTCTGAGTTGTGTTTGTTTACTGTTGTATAACACCATTAAACAGTGCTGCCAATAGCAATTCCTGAAAAGAAGAAATTCAAATTAAACGAGTCACATCTATTATACCCGGTACTTGGTAGTTCGTCTGTACCTAAGTGTTTTTTTCAAATTTTTATACCCGGTACTCGAAGAGTAAAAAGGGTATATTGTATTTGTGCGAATAGCGGTTGTATGTAATGCACAGAAGGAAGCGTTTCCGACCCCATAAGTCTATCAGTCGATAGAGCCATGTCTGTCTGTCCGTCTGTCCGTCCGTCCGTCTGTCCGTCTTGTTTGTCGGCTAGTTATCAGAGACTATAAGAGCTAGAGCCACCAAATTTTGCATCCAGACTTCTATCTGCTCACACTAAAACCAGTGTATTTAAAAAATTAGCCCAGCCCCCTTCCGCCCACGCAAAAGGGCGAAAACCTCCCAAATCTACAATTTAGAAGATAAAAGAAAATGAAAAACGCCATTCTGTAGGGAATGACCATATCTATCAGATCACCAAATTGGTATCCGATTGGAAAATTATTATGGCAACAATGAAGAAATTAATTTGCTGTGGCTAAACCCACCCCGTCCCGCAGCTTATATTTGTTTTTTTCACATTCTCTCATTCCACACTCTGCGTCGTGTGATGTGTGGCTCTAGGGGAGGGGGGGTGAGCTAAAAGAGCGGATGATGTTATTTAGATGTAGATGACATCAAATTAAAATTGAACGAGAAGGGACGTGTGAGACGCTTCTTAAGCGTCACAACTTTTATACCCGGCACTCAGTACTACATCTGTAGCTTAGCGGTTATTTGTCAAATTTTCAATTTTTTCCTCATCTGTCATCTACTTCAACAACACTACTCACGCTAACACGCTCCTTTAGCTCGCCACTCTCCCCTAGAGCCACACACTGCAGAGTCAGGGCAGAGACGCGGCAGAGGCAGAGGCAGAGACGTGTCTGCGCGAAGCAGAGTGTGAATGAGTGTACGGAGTGGGTTTAGCCACTGCAAATTAAAATATTCTTTCTTTGTATAAAAATGATCCAATCTAATCCCAATTCGGTAATCTGATAGATATGGAAATTTACTATGAAATCGTGTTTTCCTCTTATCTTCAAAATTGTGGATACATCAGATATTCGCCATTTGTGGTGGGGGGAGGGGTTAGGGGATAATTTTTTAAATAATCTTGTATCAGTGTGATATCACAGCAGTTTGGAGGCTCTAGCTGTTATAGTCTCTAAGATCCAGCCGCTAAGATGCCGACTATTGACGCTGATCAAAAATATATGTACATACTTTATGGGGTCGGAAACGTTTCCCACAATATACGCTATTTACTCTTAGAGTACCGATTATAAAAACGTTTTTGAACGTTTTTTTTTAAATGAGTATCGCAATTATACAAAATTGGGAAAAATAATAGCTTTGTCTGATCGATTTAGATCTTTCTATGGGATATTTTCACAGCACTTGTTCTTCCACTCTTCACGGTCTTTCAATTTAAAAATGTTAATTGAGAATTAAGATTTTTTCTGGAAATCATATACAATTCTTAGAAAATTTTCCGACTGATATAGCATTTAATAACTTCTTAAATTGGTATTATTCAATATAAATATCCTGTGAAATATCATGAGTTTTTCTAGTTCCATCTTCTATAATATACATTCCACTTTTACATTTTCCATTTAAAATTGTTCATTTATTTAAGTTAATGTTCTCAGTGCGGCACACAGTTGTTGTTGTTGTTTTTGTTTTTCTTTAACACAATCAAATACAAATACATATTAAAAATGCATGTAATGTTTGCTAGTTATTCAGACAATTGTAGACAATTAATTATGTATTGTGTATTGCAAATATGCCGCTTGTGTGATTTTTCATTATTTCTAACATATTTTCAATGTTCTTTGATCGTCCATTAATTAAAGCCTCGGGATAGATGCAAGATGCAAGATGCAAGATGAAAGATGCTAGATGCCAGATCTGTGGTATGCAATGTGATTGTTCGTTTTGATCTCAAATGTAAATTCGATTTAGAAAGCATTTTTTCCATGCACTTACATATGTATTTATGTATGAGTATATTAAATATTTAATTATATATGTTTTATATATATTTATGTGTGTGTTTGTGATCTGTGTTGTTGTGTGTTGGTGGAATAAAGTGTTTATAATATAAGTTGTATCGTAATAATAATAGTTTCTACAGACGAACGAGTACACATAAACTTGTTTAAAAATAAGGTTCAACTGGTGGGTGGGGGTTTACTAGTTGGCGAGGGTAGTTGGGAATAAGCCACATTACATCCCCTGCATATACATAAAAATACACACATATGCAAAAAGTATACATAATGCATATGTAAGTAGTTTCTAAATGCACAAAAAATCGTACAAAAAATTGTATATATAAAATCGTTGCAAGGACACTTTCTGTTCGAAATGTATGAGAATATTTAAATGGATGTATGTATGTATGTATGTAGGTATGTATATTAAATACGATATGTATATGAGAATATGTGATGTGGTGTGGTGGCTGGCATTTTTGGGTTTTGGTGAAAGTTAAATTATATTTCGGGTCTTTTTTCTTTCAACATAAATGTTTTAATTTTCATATGTGGGAGCAAATGTTTTGCTCTGGCGAAACTTAAGCTTATTTTTGTGTCAAAACATGAGCCAAGAAATGAGGTAACAATCAAAAATTAACAAATGCTCAGTTAATAATGTTTAACAAAAAGGAATGCTTGGAAAACTGGCAAGGAAATTGTCTTTAAATTGATAGGGAAAATAAATACGAATGTTTAGATGCCCAGTATGCCTTTAGTGGGCGCATATGAGTGGTCGGTGATTGTGTTTGTGATTGTTTGTGTGTGTTTCTGTGATTGTTGTGATTCAGAGACGGCAACGAGAAATGTTTCTGCATACATATGACAAACTACAGACTACGAAAATTGTTCCTTCGCTCATTCCTTTCGTTTCCACCCGCTTCAAAGTCGACAGACGGGATCATCGCTGCGCAATCTAAACGTGATCGTAGCTCCGGCGAAACGAACGATACAGGCAGCACGCAAAGAGTATGGTCAAAAGCTGTGTGGAAAAACTCATAGTTAACAAAAAGGAAATGCCATGTTAAAGTATCTTCCACTCACCTGTATACCCGCCACAGCCAGCACCACAGAGGCCAAGAGCAATGTCTTTGAGTCCAAGATTCCCAAGAGCTTGTGCAAGCAGCCACTCTGTGTGGCATGCACCACAGTGCACTCCTTGGCCTCGCTTAAATTGATGACAGAGCAGCATGCCGGCGGCAGGGTCTTGTTGGGATAAATAACCTCCCAATCGTTGGGTCCATACGTGCCGCAGCAATCCAATTCAGTTTGCAACAGGGTCCAGGCATCGCGATAATCCTCACGCTCCTTGTAGTGCCGCATGGTCGCATTGAATTGTCCCTCCATTAGTGGCTGCAGATCCGAATGCTTCACGTACCCGGCCACTCCCAGACCTATTTCGAACAGAAATATGACCACGGCGAGTATGGCAAAGCTGAGGATCATGCAGCTGCTCTCCTTCAATGCACCGCAACAGCCCAGGAAACAAATAACGGCCACAGCGGCGCCCACAATCATCAGTATTATGGGCGCTGTCCATATATGATCCCCGACAAAATTCGAATAGTGTGCATAATTCAATTGAACCATGCCACCCACCAGAAAGATGAGTAGACCCGTGAGCTAAAGAGAAAAAGGAAATGAATGTTTGAATTTGGTCAAAATAGGAAGTGGCAGGACTTACCGCAAATAGTAGATTGCAAAAGAATGTCAAATATTTGACACATGCCAAGCCGCCGGATGCCATTTTACTGCGAAAATTCGTACGTCTCTCGCGTTTGCTCTGATTATTGGTACTGCAAGAAAGGGAATGAAGGGATTGAATGAATGTTGGTGAAAAATATTCACCGATTGGCCCAGGACACACACACGCGGTCGCACATCAATCAATAAAACGCTGGTCAACCGCAGACACAACCCACACACACACACACGCGCTTCTGGGCTCTAAAAAGGAAATCCGAGTGGCTACCATCCGAAGCCAACCCCCAAATCACAGGAATATACACGCAAGCACAGTCGAGGGACCCCTGATGTGTCTCTCTCTCTCACTGTTTGCCTTCACCTGTCGTCTGTCTGTCTGTGGATTAACCCTACATATAGCAGAACTTCCCCCACCACACACACAACCTTTCCCAGGCACTTCACTTCCCATAGAGCGAAAGTTGTCAAGTGCAGAATACCCGTTGGATGGCAGCAAAGCAATGCAAAAGCAAAGGCCCACCAGCACCAAGGCTCTTTCGTATTGAGTGCATTTTCTGCCATTTTCTGCCATTTTCATTTCATTTTCATTCCAATTTTTTGCTTCATTGTATTCGTTTGGCCCAGTTTTAGGCGTATTATTATTTTTTATTACATATTACACCCGTTTGTATTTTTGTTTGTCGCATTTTTGCTGCTTTTTAGTTGAGGGATGGCTGATGGGTGTGGGTGCTGGCGAAAGTGCCTCTCCATGTATTTGTTACAAGGACGACCTGCAATGAGTGCAACCACCCCACGGAATCGATTAAGGAACGAGTAGATAACAAATGTTTTGAGATCCGATGGCTGGAAGCTATGGCAACTATAAGTATGGAATTACACTTGAACACAAGAAATTTCGCAATAGCATGATAAAGAAATGTCCAGAGAGTATGGCGACATGGAACGTTTCCACAATCAACAGAAAACTGTTCAAGTTGGATGAATCAAGTAATAAGTTCAACTCCACTTGATAATGATTGGGTCAGGCTTTCTTAAAACCATTTGAGACTCACATTAAAGTGCTTTCTTTTCTTTTTCTAAAATATACAAATTCAAAGAATCGAATACATTTCACGAACAAATAATATATACATATGGTATGCACATGGTCTTATCTTTCACAAACTTATTTATGTATTTTATATAGCGTACTACTCCTCAAAGCTGTAGACTGACTTCATTGGAAAGCGTGTTTAAACTTGGACACTGGCGATTGGAAAACTGAATGGATACTGAGTTTAAAATTGAGAAAAATACAGCTTTTTATGGACTTCTTATTATCTTATCTTTCACTAAGCAATTTCTTATCACAAAGTATTTTCTATAACATACAGGAAATAAATGATCTTGTGTTACACCTAAATTACTCATTGGGTTAATTCATTCAAGAATCTCAACCAATACAGTTCATACAGTAAAACAAATTCTCCTTTAGTTTTATACTCTTTATGTATTTATTCTAAGCAAATTATGTGTATGCCATACCGATCAGATCAGTTTGAACTCTTCAATTAGTAGGGGTCACTGGTCCAATTAGTTGATTGACACACACACTCACACAGCTGTGCTGCCCTCCTGCCATGGGCATAACCCCACATAAGCATAAACGTGGAAAGAGAACCAAAATCGATCGTTTTGAAATTGTGTCAACGGTAGCAAAAAAGTGGTTAATAGCCACTGGCCGTTGCGGCTGGGCTTCGTTAAGTAAAGGCCTCCCTCTTCTACTTCCTCTCTCTCTCTCTCTCTCTCTCTCTCTATGAAAGAAGCGCGAGTGAAAAGTTTCACCTGTCGCACACGGACACCAAAGTGTAGGAGTAATAAAATATACATTTCATTCAGACACGCGTAAACAGGACGATAAAAACGCCGCCACTGGCTGTCAATAAACCTTTTCTTGAAGGTGGCGGACGTATTGGCCAGAACGGAGGACAGTGGTTACAATACGAGGAAATATAAAATAAAACAAATTTTTTAAATATGAATATGGTTTTAAGAGCAAAGCAAAAACCAACAGTGCGATTTTTTTAAGATTAATATTTGGGAAAAGCCTAGATTTATGCACTCGATTTGTTTCTGTAGCATTGTATACTGATAACCCATGACCCTATAAATCTAATAATTTTTTCAATTTATTCCATATATTTCCATTTAATCAGTGAAATGGAACTTTCATGAAGATTTTCTGTATGATAACCAAATAAATTACAGGGGAAGTCTATAATGAATCAAATTTATTTTAACTCCTACAGAAAGAGTAATCGCAAATTTCGCAACCCTTGGGAGTTATTCCTGTCATTTGATAAGCCAATGGGCTTCACTGTTGCTGTTCTTTTACCCACTTCGGGGAGCTGGGAGTGAGAGTTGGTGGAGCAATTATATTGGGGAGTTACCAGCTTGGAATGGGACGATGAAGGCGGTCACTGGGGCCTGTCCCTTTTAATACCGGGATGTATGTAGGTACGAATGCATGTGTGCATAATGATACACCTTTTTATAGGTTGCGTGCCATCGACTAATTCCGGAAATCTAACCATAAGCATGGGCAATGGCATACCCGCCTGTCCTGTGCTGACCCTTTGAGCTATTTTTCTACAAACTTTACTTGCCACAAAAGTTACAACGCAAAAGATTGAAAGTGTTTGGTTGGTGGGGCACCAAGAATTGGAACAACAATGGAAACCAAGTCTCTGGCGGAGTCCGCGAGGGGTTAACAAACTGCAGCGAACTCAAGCGGCAAGCGCGAAGCGCCACACGGAAAAAATGCAGCCACTGCTTTGGCTTTTTTTGCTTCTTTTTTGTGTAGATTTAAATATTCAAGCTATGCGGCGGATGGGCTGGTTGTTTTTTATGTATAACTAGTTCCATCCATACATACTCCAAATTCCTAGATTTCTCACTCACTTAGCAGGTAGTGGATGCCATGCCCCCCCCCCCCCCCCCCCCCCCACGACAAAAAAAAGAACAAAAGAGATGAGGCACAAAAGGCCAGAAAAGTAGAACGGAAGGAGGTAGTGAACCTGAAACGAAGAAAAATAACTGCACATTCGTCGCTGCTGTCGCTCTGCGTTTCTTTCTGTGTTCCCATCTCTGTCTAGCGCACTTGGCAACTCCCGACATACACACAATACGCGCACACACCAGCTCCAGCTCCACAGAGCTACGAGAGGTGTCTTGACAATAATAGTTAAAAGATTCTCACATAATATTGCACTTTAGTTCTACCAACTTGTGTCTGTGTGTATACCTGATTCAAATCACTGCACTCTCCACCCTTCACTTGCTGTATCTTTTTGAGTTATCCGCCAAAAACAGCGCTAAGCAGGTAAACAAAATTGGAGAAGTGATGATAGAATATTGATACACACTATATCGATATATCGGTTGCCTAAGAATATATTTATGGAAAATATCAATGTACAAAAAATGTTTGTGGGATGTGTCAAAAAAACAGTTGTTGTGTTATTTCAATGGAATTCACGCCGCTTATCTTATTACGTATATAAATGCCGACTTTCATTTATTGCACGTTTCATCGATAGTTACATAAAAAATTCGATACTTGTGTGCGATAAGCATCTACAAGAATAGCGCTTCACAACACCACTTTCATGGCATGCTTGCCCTCAGCTGCTGTTTCCCGCGAAATAATTGAAATGAATTGTGTAAATACACAAAGAATCGGCGTGGTTGCGTGCAGTGGTGTTTCTAACAATGATTGTTTATGCATTACCCTCGTCTAAAATACACATGCTAAGCCGGACTTGTAATGTGAGTCCAACAAAGACAAGCCAAAAGCAGCCAAACCTGCAGTCTCTGTGCACTCGCAAAAACATGATGAAATTCTTAGGAGTTTTAGTGAACGCATTTCATCATGTGAACTTATCAATGAAATACCACAGTTTCAACCGAACGTTTCCAGATGCTAGCGAACTATCCGCTGTGCTTGGTTATCTGTGAGACGCAACGCATTGGGGTAAGTTTAACCGTTAGAATTGTTGCCATGAAAAATTGCTAAAAAGGGAAACTCTCATGCAAAAGCTGATAGCTATGGCACTTGTTGCTAAAGTCATTTAATTTTGAATCTTTTGAATGATAACAATAATATTTAGATATAATGAACAATCAGAAAGGAAACCATCTCTGACCTGAATAATATACAGCTGCGTCGTTTAAAACAGCACCATGAAAATAATTGTTTTCTTTGAGATATTTTGTTAAAACAATGGTTCTAATGAAGGGTTTTAAAACTATTAAACTCTGAGGCTTAATTCAACTTATCCGAGAGAAACGGTATGATTTGATGGCTTTAGTTGGAAATATTTGAAAGGAAAAAGAATTATTCCGGTATTTGGGCGGCACAAATAGCACCAATTTCATAAAAGCTCAATAAACTTCAAATTTAAAAGAAATTTCCACAATCTTTCATTAATATAGTTAACTTTATATGTATTCAAAAGTTAATAATTTGTTTTAAAGCTTTTGGCAGCAAAAAAAAAAGGCTGAGTCCTGTCATAAAATGTAACCTTATTTTCGAGTCTTTCCTGGGGGATTCATCTCCACAAATCTGGCAGAACCCCCAAATGTCAAACTTTTTCTTTGATTTCGTACTAGAAACATATTCCTTAACTGTTCCCCAAAGATTTTCTCTATGGTTCATATCTGCGGACTAAGCAAGAGAAAACATTGCATAAAAGTCACTGTTTTAAAACCCCTTAGAGCTGTCTATCTGGTCTGTTTTGTCTCAGCATGATTATTAGATATACATATGTGTCAAAGAGTTGCGTTTTTCATTTGGTAGTCGTTTTACATAAGATCTAAGTTTTAGCTTTGGGTCAACTCTAGCTTGTATTTACTTTGCCCCATGGTAACTTTGCTAAACTGCATTTTTTCTCAGACTTCGAAAACTTAATTTATATTTATTTGGAAAATTTTAAAGATCCATTGTAAGCTCTGTGGCCGGCTTTAAAGGACCCCTCTTGCACTCAGAAACCAGAATTTTTAACCGAAATGTGGATATTGCGCCAATTCGCCAATTTTCAAAACGAATCATTTTAGATGAGGAACCTACTATTTTCCACGCATAAGATTAGCTTTCCTCTTTTGGAGTTAAAGTTTTGATCCTTTGGCTTTTTCTTCCCTAAAGTGCTTTTCGACGACCCAAAACAACTAATATTTTTTAACTGTCTGTTTACAAACGACTTAAGCTCCCGACTATTATATTAATTAAAAACATTATATATTAAAAAGCTCGGAAAAGTAAAAGTTTATATAGAATACAAATTTTTAATGCTATTTTTGTTGCCGTTCAGTTTCGCTTCTTTTTCGAAAAATTGCCTAAATTATTGAAGGCCGCCAAAGTTGTAAGAGTAAGGACACTTCTCTCAGATAGGAGACATCTCAACCTACTTTATATTACTTCAAAGTGCAAAAAATGTAGTATAGAATCAATTTTTTCTAAACAATAACGACTGTTGTACCACGCGGTGCTATTATTTTTGCCGCAACTGTATATTCTGTAGGTCAGGTAGAAAGATTACGTATTTAAATATTTAGACTGAACGTTTGCTGATTACTATTTTTGCAGCTCGCAATAAATCATTTGGCACGACCTTGATAGGAACACCACCTCATATAGCTCTCCCACGTTGGATAATGAGAGTTGCAAAGGTAAATAATTAAAAAAACGCACATTTTGATATATGTATTTGTTTGCTTTATTCAATCAACTTTGCTTGGCATCTAAGTATACATACACTAGTTATATCAAATGGAATTAGCATCCATTATTTTTACACTTGCATTCAATAGGGATGTATTCGTATCCGTATCCATACTGATCCTCCTTTACTTGTACACACCAAATGCTCATCGTTCTTAGACCATTCCTAAACTGTATATACAATACGAGTAATATGCTGTTTTCTGTTTAGTATTTTGTTACATAAATATTTGCTCATTTTTTGTGGGTGTATAAATATATAGAGATAAATATATAATAGACTTGATTTTGTGTATGTGTTGGTTGGGGTGTGTGTGTGTGTGTGTTTGGGGGAGAAAATCATTTACAATACTTACTAAACATCTATATTGCAGTTTTATCCAAATATAAATATATTTGTATTTCATTTGTGCAACAGAATTTGACTAGATTCGACACTCGTCCACAAACAAAACACTTTTGTGCCATTTCGTTGTAGAAACCCCCTGCCCCCCAACCCCCCCTGCTCCTCCTTTAACTAACAAACTAACCAAATACGAATTACATATTGCTCTATGGCCCATTCCCCATGCCCCTTCTAGAGTTTCTTTCTCTTTCTGTGCCATTTACTAGCGCACTAGAAATAGATGTATTGTAAATATGTATGTACATATGCATGCTTACCGACTAACCCAAAATACTAAATCCTCGACTAATCAAACATAATCAACAAGCTTAACTTTCACACCCACGAGAACGAGTCGGCGTCTCACCCTAACTACTATTTTTCACTTAATTATTGCTAAGACCCAAGCATCCATCCACACAGCATACACCCACTTCCACTCACACTGACACATGCCACCCATTGAGCACCGTTATTTTATTACTGTTTACCGTTTGCCGCCGTCACCACATTGCTGCGTAGAGTTGTCCCGCTCTGGCAGACGTTCCACCCGGAAAGTCCTACAGTTCGGTTCGTCCTCAAGGTACAGCGCCATGGCAGGGCAGGACATGGGGTACAATCGGAAGTGTGCCAATTTCAATGTGCCATTCAACGTTTCGGTGTGTTAATTGTTTTGTTACCCTGCTCCGGGAACCATTACATCCGTAGTACGATAAATTTCAAGTGCATTAAAAAGATCATGGGTGGTAAATTAACTTATTGGCGCGTCACTCTGCCGTCGTCGTCCTCCTTGTCGTTGTCGTTGTCCTCTCTTCGTGTCGTTCCGTAGTCGCGCCAGGGCTGCTAGTTAACGTTAATTGATGCTTTGTTTTTGTTGCTATTGCTGACAATTATATATATATATATATGTTTATACAAACATACAACTATGTATGTGTATACATAGCGAAACTCATTGAGAGTTCGACTCCCTGTCATCTGTATCTGGTGTTTGCTTCCGTCCGTTTTTACTTCCATTCTATATATACAATTGCAGTATGCCTCAATAATAATCTACTATCATTATAATGCTTATGTTTTAACAACTTTAGATTAATTGCATAATATATATTTTTACTCAATATTGACTCTACTTCTGTTGAACATCCTATAATCTAGGCTTACCTTTTGTTTTTGGTATTTATAGGGTTTTAATATTCCATATATGTAAGTATCTTTATGCGTATTTATTTGAACTTAAATTCTGCGTACGTATATTAATTCTTAGCTCCTATATAACTTGCTGATATATCAGAATGAGTTCTAGTTGTTTTTTCCATTTCGATTAAGTGTATTTTGAGCAGAACTAGTGGTGGATAGATGTATTTCGAAATAGTTCAATGAAACAGACATAAAGTACAGTTGAGCTTAGGTTTAAAAGAGATAAAAGCCAAATGCTGAGTAGACGAAGGAACAGCTTGAAGTACAGTTATACTTGAAAGGTGGAATCTTTCATAGTGTATCCAGAATTTAGGTATTGTTCAGAAAAGCATGGTACTGCCTGCCAAAATCTAAGTTTTACTATTTCTATGGCAAAATATCGTTTACGTTCAAATCAAATAACTTCTTAAGATACTTTTGTCTCAATGGAAAATAAATTGTTTGCCTTTTCCTGCTCTCTAAATTCTATAAATTCTATATTTACTATCTCTATACTCCATAGATCATCCGCCAACTTAGAGAAACTCTCGAAATGGTTCATCGAAATTATCATTAACATCTGTAAAGTTTCCGGAATTGTTACCCACACCGACGCCGACGCCGACGCCGGACACCACCCCAACGCCCACTCCGACATTAATTCCAACCCCCCCACCGACGCCCACGCCAACTCCGACGCCAACTCCCACATTCACCGTTGTGGAGCCATTCAGGATGAGTGTCGGCTGCTGCTGTTGGGGCTGTTGCTGCTGTTGCTGCTGCTGCTGTTGCGGCTGTTGCTGCTGCTGCTGCTGCTGCTGTTGGGTCAGCATCATTGTGGCTCCCATGTGGCCATGACCATGCATCGTCTGCTGCTGTTGATGGTGATGCTGCTGTTGCTGCTGTTGTGGATGATGGGATGTTGACTCCAACTGTGTCTGCTGCATGTGCAGCGCCTGGGGCTGGAGACTCTGCATCGCTGGATTGGCCGAAACGGCAGCTGCATTCAGCAGAGTGCCATCGGCAGCGGCCAAAAGAGCACAATCGTAGGCCCCACCATTGGCCAGAGCATCCTC